CAGGTTGGACGGGGCTCTGAGCAACCTGGTCTAGTGGAAGGTGTCCCTGCCCATGGCAGGGGGGCTGGAACTTCCAACCCAAACCATTCTATGATTCTATGAAATATCTGTGACCCATTTGGGGACTTTCTGGCCGTCCGTGATATTTGCCAAGAAATGTTCAGCTGAACTGTAACGTTAGGAAAAGTCTGCCTGGGCTATTAATTCATTTTAAGTTCAGCTGAGAAATCTTTTTCGTCTTGTGAGGTGGAAACTCCTCCTTCGGGTACATGGCAGCACACAGGTTTCCTTCCCTTCCTAACCCTGATCGGATGTTGCACCAAGGGTCATTGCTTTCCAAAAACTGAACGTACAGTATGGCCTGTGCCCCTCTATTTGCTTGCATCTTTTTCAAATACTTTAAGCAGTCATTAGAAGGTTTCCCTGGCACTTGTTTTAAGTTTAATTTCTTCTCTCTGTGTCCTCTTGATCTACCTGGGGGTATAATCAGTTCTGCATATTCTCACACCTTTGAAATTCAGTGCATCATTATTGCATCCTCCTCCTCTCATCTTTGAAGAGGCTGTCCAGTCAGACTAGATATACATAATATATTCATATAATCTCAAATTTCCTGCTCAATAAATGATTCTTCCCCTGTGTAATACAGCTGAGTGAGTGGTTTCCAAGAAGGAGGTAGTCTCATTCATCTGCTTCAGGGCTGCCCAGCATCACCCAGGTTACTGCTAAAGAGAGACAGTAGAAGTAATCTTTTTTTGTTTTTTGAATTAAAAAAAAAAAAGTAGAAGTTATTTCTTTTTATTGAAATCCTATTTTTTAATTGATTTAAAAAATGTGTTTATTTTCTGTAAAACAAATAATTTTGGCTGGCTTGTGTTTTCCATGCAAGTATTATTTAATATGTCACAACACAGCTTCGCTAATTGTGGTGAAGAACCTTCTTAGCAGTACTTGGCAGAAAAGACAAAACCTGCCATACTCGTGAGTATTTAGAAAGGACGTGTTGTTTGACAGACTGATGAACTGGATAGCATTGAGGAACTGTAATAAAAAACCAACACTGCTGTATATGGCACTTATGAAAAACAGATTTTTTTTTTTTTCAAGTATTTGTAATAATGTTACGAGCAGAAGCGTGAAGCAGCGCGACCGGACACTGATGGGTTTGTTGGGTTTTTTTCATTGACCTGTTTCCCTTGGTTGGTTGGTTGGTTTTAAAAAAAAAAAAAAAAAAAAAAAGGCATTTTCATTCTCCTTGGGGTGTGTGTGATGTTTCTGTCCAGGCTATAGGCTTTGCTTGCCACAGTATCATTGAATTTGATTTATTGACAATAGATTGTCTTGTTTCTTTATTTCAAAGAGGTTTGGGCACAGTCTAACTCTTAGCACTGTTGTAAAATAACAGCTGGAAAGCCTAATTACGTCAAGTGTTCTTGATGCAATAGTTGGGCTTTGCTCACACTTGTGTGATAACACCATCGCTAGAGCTGTTGAGACTGGATAAGTCCAGTGGTCATCCTGTACCAGCTGATGAACTGGAAGTTGGATAACTTGATCTAATAAGATTTTCCAATCTCAGTGTTTCAGTCTCTTTTTTTTTTAGCTTGGGAAGCTCCTTTTCCAGCTGATTTGGGAGTTGTGTAAGCTGTTAAACATTGGCTGTATTTGCATTTTCCCCATCTGTAGGTCATTTGGATCCAGGCTTCCTTGCAAGTGACAAAACCTCTTCTGGTAATGCCCAAATCAATGAAGAAATTAATATCGCCTCTTCTGATAGCGAAGTAGAGATTGTTGGAGTTCAAGAACATGCCAGGTATTGATTCCTTTTTTTAGCTCTAATATTTCTTTCATTTTATCAGAATATCTGTATTGCTAAAATAAATAAAGAAAAAAATTGATGACTTCTACTTCTGTAGTTATCCATCCATGACTGATGCCCAAAAGGTAGCAAGCGTTGCACTTGTTTTTTCTATTCTGCTGGTCACGGTGATGTCAGAGTGTGTTTTTCTTTAGAACATTATCAACTTCATATGTGTTCAGATTAAGCTTGTGATTCGATATCAAACATTAACAGGCTAAACATATGTAGTATTAAAATACCAAATATAGAGATACCAAATTTATGTACATCAGGAATTCAGATTTTAAGGGTGTAGTGTGAATATGCAAATAGATAAACAAAAATATTTGTGTGGGTTCTTGTTCCCTTTCAAAAATGTTCACTTACTTTAAGCATTTAATCAGCTTCCAGTTTATTTAATTAATCAGTAGTAAAAATACTATAAAATAAATATAAATACTATAAACTTTTCAATGGCTAATGTCATAAGATAGCCCCTTTATATTAAAAATTGGATCCTTATGAATCTTAATTTTATTTCAAGATACAACAGAGTTCAAACCCCCAAAGTAGATGAGGGTAAGGAAGCCAAAGGTTTCTCTCAAGCTCAGATAGAAAGCTGTCCAGCTGTGCATGGACATCTTGATAGGCATTTTTTGATGTTGCCCCTCACTACAAGAAGGACGTTGAGGTGCTGGAGCGTGTCCAGAGAAGGGCAACGAGGCTGGTGAGGGGTCTGGAGAACAAGTCTTCTGAGGAGCGGCTGAGGGAACTGGGGTTGTTTAGCCTGGAGAAAAGGAGGCTGAGGGGAGACCTCATCGCTCTCTACAACTACCTGAAAGAAGGTTGTAGCGAGGTGGGGGTCAGTCTCTTCTCCCA